ATTGAAAAGTCTACAGACTTTTTCCGCCGAAAAGAGAAGGAATTACAGGGCCAAAAACACATGATTGCTCAACAAGCAAAAATTTCTTCTAATGCTCTGGAGGCATCTTAGGTGGCATACTTGATTGCGCAGAACAAAAAACCACACACAATCAGGGAAACCCTGATAAAGCCCTCTGTTGTGGCTGTGTGTCGGGCCATGCATGGTGAGAAAATAGCAAATTAACTTATGACTGTTCCTTTGTCGAACGACAGCTCGGCGTGTACATGATATTGCAAATGACATTAAGAGTCAATTGATTGAGAGGATAAATAGAAAAAAATATGCACTGCAAGTTAACGAATCTACGGATGTGTCTAATACTGCTCAGTTGCTGGCGTTCATCAAATACACATTTGACGGAAAACTGCATGAGGATATGCTCTTCTGCTCAGCACTCGAGGGGACTTGTATGGGCAGTGACATTTTCACCAAACTCGACACCAAAATAAAAGAGATGGGACTTTCATGGGATAATTGTGTTGGTGTATGTACTGATGGTGCTGGTGCAATGGTCGGTAAAAACAAGGGACTCAAGGCAAAGGTTTTAGAAGTGGCTCCTCACGTGAAGTTCACACACTGCATCATACACCACGAGTCTCTTGCTAGCAAAGCACTCGATTCTGAACTTAACAGTGTTTTGAAATGTGCAATCAAAATCGTAAATCACATAAAATCTCGCCCAGTAAACAGCAGACTACTAGCCACACTTTGCAACGAGATGGCCTCACAGCACAAAGCATTGCTGTTTCACACCAAAGTCCGGTAGTTATCACGGGGGAAGGCACTCGGACGTCTTTATGAACTGCGCGAAGAAGTGTACTCATTCTTGAATGACTCACAATTTGAATTCGCCACTTGCCTGAAAGATCCAGCTTGGTTGTCAAAACTTGCTTATTTGGCATGTATATTCGAATCTGTCATTACAAGGACCAAACACAAACATTCTGACAATGAATGACAAAGTCAATGCTTTTATGAAAAAGCTGGAAAGATGGGCTGAGCGGATTGAACAAGGAAATGTGGAGATGTTTCCTGAGCTTGAGGACCATCTGGAGGAAAATGGACTGAGCCTCAGAAGCCTGAAGGAACTCATCACTGGTCATCTCCACAGCCTTTTGGAACAATTCAAAAAGTATTTCCCAAAAGAGACGCAACCAGAACTGTATGACTGGATACGGCAACCATTTTCTGAATCTATTACTCATCTCCCCACAAATCTGGAAGATGCTTTGCAGGAGCTGTCCAGTGATCGAACATTAAAAACATTATTTTCCAATTCCACAATGCCTGAATTTTGGATTGCGGTAGCAGATGAATACACAGAGTTGTCCCATGCAGCAATGGATGTACTGCTTTAATTTGGATCTACATATTTGTGTGAGCAGTCTTTTTCCGCTGTTACATATATAAAAAATAAATACCGATCACGTCTTGATGTCGAAGATGATCTGCGGGTAGCTGTATCCACCATCAGGCCACGAATGAAGCTTTTGTGCTGCCAAAAACAAGTATACCCTTCCCATTGAAAGGTAAGCCAAAATTATTTTGATGTTTGGTAAATGTAGTCAAAATACTGTGAACAGCTTGTTATGTTTATTGCTTGTTTTTGATAGTGGGGGTCGCGAGATCTTGTCGATCTTCGATTAGGGGTCGCTGGCTTGAAAGTTTGAGAACCACTGGTATATAACATAGTGTAAGTGCAGAAGGCTATGTACACCAAAATGTTTGTGTTTTCAAAATAGTCCTACAGCAGAGTGAATTCTTCACTGCAGACAGTTTTAACAGCCGATCATGTTCTGCAGATTAGCTGAGTCGCCAGTCCTGTCTGCTCAATAATCAGAGCAGTCCACTAGCTTGAGAGCCATGTCGGTGATTACCATCCTACAGCTGTCCGTGCAGTGAGAAGTTATCTTCACTTGTATTTTGTCCATCTTGGTGAGTGACTGGGAGTTGATGAGAAAGAGACTTTGGATGGTCTGAGGGGGTTAGTCTGTACCCTAGCTTGTGTGCCAGCTCTCTTGCCAAGCTTCTGCTTTCTTCCTCCTGCTACCTCTGACACCTCGCAAATGGGATGATGGTTATTCCACTGGGCTTTTCAGGATGCAGGATCTCCAATGGGATGGAGTATCGGCTTTCGAAGGTGTAATCCTGACATTGATATCCAATTTTGAGCAGTTCTGCTCATACTGTACATAACATAGACATTTACCGAGTGCTTGAATGAATACACCTAACGCACATAAAACAAAAATGTTGCTGTGTGACTTACAGCTGCGAGCTTCTGTGTCTGCATGCACCGCCATCTTGCATTGGATTCACAATACAGCCTCTGCCTGTGTTACGATGGGGTTATGTTCTGACAAGCTTATCGTAAGGTGAAAATAGCGAAAATGCATTTTAATACAGTACAACACACTTTAAACACAGAAAGATATATGCACTCTAACACAGATACCACTTATCTCTGTGAGTCGTTGGCGAGAGTGAGGCATCTTCACAAGGTGGGCATCCCGGCAGCGTCCCAGCGTATTATACGTCATACGCTGCTATGCTTGTCTGCCAGCAATGCCTGCCCGCAAATCTTAAAATATTTTACAATTAGCGTTTCGGAATCGTAATTGTAAGATCAAAAAATTGTTGGACCATCGTAACTCGGGGACCATCTGTATTGATATTTTCAAGAAAAGACACTTACCAAAGAACTTACCAAATTATATATTGTGAGGTTAAATGTATTTTGCATGTTTGGAAAATAATATTGAAAATAAAATTATATCAGTCCCCTAAATATATAGCTGAATGGCTTTAAACGCAAGGGTAACAGACACACAAGAAATATCAAATCAGATCATTTTACCCCTTGTATTGAGTGTGTGCAACCAATTTTCAAGAACTAGAAAAAGATAAACTGTACAAATACCTCATTGCCTTCAATCATTTTCTGTAAAGAACAATTGAAAATAAGTGAACAGGTGAAAATGAAACATCAAGATTCACTGTATGCCTTATATGTGTGTGTCTGTCTGTTGTCTTTGTGTGTGTGTGTGTGTGTGTGTGTGTGGGGGCTGGGCTGGTTTTGAGCACATTTGGGCACGAAATGTCCTTGCAACATGATAAAACATCTTACTTCCTGAATTTTGTAAAGATTTGTGAATGTGTTAAATAAAAAACAAGGAAGCAGATTTAAATAAAAACTGACCAAAGTTCATTGTCATTTGTCACAAACATATGTGGACAACTGTTTATTATATTTGGCACATTTGAAATGTGCCCACCTTCCGCAGAGGTCCCACTGCACCTAAAGGACAGTAAAAGTAATTCATCATCTGAAATAATGAAACAAATGTTTATGACATCCTTTGAGAAATAATTCATTTTTATCCAAATAAAAATAACAAGTGAGGTTGGAACAAACATTTTATCATAATTTTGTCATAATAAAGGGTGTAAACCTTTTGCTCCATTTAAATATTTTCATTATAAAGATAAGGTATATGTTTAGAAGTTGTTAATGTGTAAATTCAGTCAATGCTATAAGGTTTGGGAATGTTTCTTTAAAGAGATGAGCATTCCCTTCCAACATAGAGCAAACCACACAGTAGTCCTCTGCATTTCCTAGGCAATATAATTGTGGAATAATAACTTTCTTTCCTCAGTAAACACAGCTCTGCTTTTCTTGATTCATAAAACATGGACATGCAGACCTCACTCTCAAAACATGTAATACTTTTCCATCAAAATTTAGGTCCAGGTAAAACAACAACTAACAAGAATTATGCTTCAATTTAAATTACATTTTTCTACTTTAACTAAAACAAACAATACAGTTTATAGTCTCAGCAAGCAAAACAAACACACGTATACTGTCAAGTTTAATGGTAAATTCAAAATTCAATAGATTTGTTTAATGCACGTAGTAAACACAAATACAAACAAAATATGATAACGTTTAAGATAAACCGTTTTAAACATACAAACCTCCCCTTTTCCTAAATGTCCAGGAGTAGCTAAATTTTTTTGACTTTGGATACAGCATAATGTTGACTTGCGCATATGCTGTTGCGGTTGGAAGCTTAATGTGTTATCAACTGATATTGCTAACAATGGCAAACCATTAGTCGAGAACTGGAGCCTGTTTCAGAAAGCAGGATTTCTTGCAGACATGCGCACCACACTTCACCCGAAAAAAGAAGGCATGTCTGTTCAGGAAGTATAATTAATTCATCAAGCAAGAAAAGGGGGTTATGCCCTCAATGAATCTGGCAACAAGCAAAATGTGGAACATGAAGTATTTAATTTCCATTGTGGACCTATTTGAAATCCGCAGAAACTCTTTTATTTTGAAAATAAAAGCATGGCGGTATCTTACTGTACTTATAGTATATTGCCAAAAGTATTGGGACACCCCTCCAAATCATTGAATTCAGGTGTCCCAATTACTTCCATAGCCACAGGTGTATAAAATCAAGCACCTAGGCATACAGATTGCTTCTACAAATATTTGCGAAAGAATGGGTTGCTCTCAGGAGCTTAGTGAATTCAAGCGTGGTACCGTGATAGGATGCCACCTGTGCACTTGTGAAATTTCCTCGCTACTAAATATTCCACGCTCAACTATTAGAGGTATTATAACAATGTGGAAGCAATTGGGAAAAACAGCAACTCAGCCACGAACTGGTAGGCCACATAAAATCACAGTGCTGGGACAATGCATGCTGAGGCACATAGTGTGCAGAAGTCGCAAACTGTCTGCATAGTCAATAGCTACTGTACAGACTTCCAAACGTTGTGTGGCCTTTAGATTAGCTCAAGAACAGTGTGTAGAGAACTTGAAGATTATCACTTTCTGGAGAGATTACATTTTATATTAAATCGCTTTGTATGTATATGTATTTGTATTAAGTGTTACATCATGATGTGTCCATTTGCATTTATAAATCTGAATAATTCTCTCACAGTTGACAAAATGAAGTTTGAACCCCCACTCCAAAAAGAAACTGAGGCTCATGCTGAAATGGTAATAGTCTTATTTTGTTGAATTACTTAAGTTGTCAAAATATATGCCAACCTACTATGTGATAGTCATTTCCTCCCTGAATTCTGAAGCAAATTTAATATAACATTTTTTAATTATTTATATATAATATATAATGCAGATGTGCTTAAGTCGGGTCATTTTATTATACCAGTAATAATTTTTTTATACATAAGCATTTTTGGAAGTTTTTGGGATAACAAAAAATAGAAAAAAACCTTGAGAAGAACATGTAAGAAGTTAGTGATGGATGACCAATATTAAAAAAACTCCACAACCCCAGAGAGCACAGAATGTTTTTGATGTAGCAGACCTACATAAAAAGGGCAAAAACTTGTAGTGGGTGGTCAAGTCATTTTAATGAAGCAGATGGCAGCTTTTTAAAAATGAAACTTACTTGCTTTATTATAAAAAATATTTATATAAAAAAACATCTTATATTTGGGCCAAAACATTAATTTGCCTTGGTTAAAGTATTCCATTATCACACAGAAGTCATATATTTAGTTGTATAACTGAATATATGTAAACTTGTTAAACAGAAGTTGCATTAGCTAGATCAGGGGTGGCCAATCTTATCCGCAAAGGGCCGGTGTGTATGCGGGTTTTCGCTGCAACTCCCTAATTAGATTACTAATCAGAGGACTGATTGGCTGAAGAGTCCTCACACCTGGGTTTGAACAGCTGACCTACAGGTTATTCCAAAAACCTGCATACACACCGGCCCTTTGCGGATAAGATTGGCCACCCCTGAGCTAGATGGTTGCCTTTTGAAAGATAAATTAGGCATGTAAAGAATCTTGTCCTTTAAAGTATGGTTCCAATTCTATCCATATAACATATTATGGAGTCAAAACTGCTACGTTGTGGATCTGTATTTTGAGGCCACTATCTTTTATCCAAAATAGATTATTTTTTATTTGAAACTGCCTACATGCTTTCATTAAGGAAAAAATTTATTTTTGTTTTTATAATAGAAAATTGAGTATTGTATTTCTGTTTAAATGGGATTTCTGTTTTCAGTGAAGGCAGGAAAATGTTAAGATTTTATTCTTTATGAACAAAAGGAGAAACATTGACTACATTCTGGGTCTGCTCTTCAGGACATTACCAAAGAAAATGACTTCCCTTCCCAGTGGAATCCCTTTGCTGAAGGTGGAATAAACATGAAGTGAGTCAAAATGACCAATGTTATGAAAACCCTTTGATTCTAATTGTATTCTTATTGCTTGCATTTCATAGGCTGACAGTAGAACAAGGAAAGCAGCTATATGATTCCTCAGTTTAAATGACTGCATGAACAGTTTGTGCAATTCTTTCCTTTATTTTTTGTCTTTGCCTGTTATCTTTCTAGTTGGGTGAAAGCAGCCTTCTTGAAAGTGTTGAGGAAAAGTTGTTCCAGTGGTATAAATGGGTGTTTTGCAATGGTATTCACCCCTAATTGCTTCTTTTAATAGAAAGTTGTGTGTCTATACCTATACCTCTGTATGCTGTGTGACTGGATCCTGGACTGGATGTCAATATTGTGACTGGATCCTCATTCACAGAAGGCACTGAATGACAGTAGAAATGCAGCACAGATTTATTTTCAACACTTGTGCAAAGTAAAAGATGTGTAATATTTGGTAATGCTTTACATTAACTGCACCTTCATAATGAACATTCATAAGCATGTACCTGTTACAGCACAGCATGGTGCAGATGGGAAAAAAGGGTAACGATCCACTGGCAGCTCTGTGACAAAAGGAGTTTATTTACATAAAACAGAATACACTGGGGCAGGCACAAAATAAAAAGACCACGAGGGGTCAAAAAGCCAACAGGGAAAACAAGAACTAACTATAAGATTCATAAAGTAACCAAACAAGGAAGCGGCACAACACAAGTAGCAGGATAATAAAACAGGCTTCTCAAACACAGAGTAACATCTAACAATGTCCGACTGAGGAAATTAACAAAGGCAGGCACTTAAATCAATGATAACAAAGACTAACAAGAGACAGATGTGAATCAAACAACCAATCAACGAGGGCACAGGGCAACAAGACACAGGTGAAGAAACTACTAAGCACTAATGAACATAGAACTAAGGAACTTAGAAGACCGGAAACTAAAGAAACACAGGGAAATACTACACTAGAAAAATCAAGAAACAAGTAAAACAAAACAATCAAGGCAGGGGCAGAGAACTATAAACAAGATATACACAGGGATAAACAATATCAAACCAAAACAGGGGTGCAAAGGACTAATAAACACAAGGAAAAACAGAAAACCAATAAAAAAAAACAAAACAGGTTCCAGCCTCTATGCTGTACACTCAGCCCATTGAGCTATGTAGTAGTCCTGGGATCAGGGGAAACACACAAGGGTCTAGTAAAAAAGACAGAGGCAACACCTGCTGGCCAAACAGGAACAAGACACATAGGACAGGACCTGATGGGCCCGATCCTGACTATACCTGTCAGGGTCTGTACCGTCTGACCCTGCCTTTTGTGTCTTCTTCCTGTTTAGAGAGGAGGTGTAGCATGCCATCCTGTCCTCCCTGTCTCTTGCCCTTCAATCCCCGTGTGTCTGGTCCCTAGTGTGTTTTTGCTATTACCTGCACTGCTGCATAGCTCAGTGGGTTGAGCATGTGGCTCAGTCTGTTATCTTCTCTAGTCATGAGTTTGAGGCTGGGCAAAAGATAATCTAAATTTTGGTTGGTTTATATTGGTTAATTTTCCTTAGATCAGAAGTTCCCATATTCACAATTTTCCCCATGTAATTATCAGAACTGTATGTATAACAGTGTGTTTTCAGTAGGCCATTCTATACAATTCTATATACTTTGTTGTGTTAGGTTTACATGAACAAAGGTTTTATTTTATATTGTGTTTTAAAAATGTCTATAGAAAATTACGTTTTTATCAAAAAAGAGGAATCCAGTATTGGATAAACAGTTGGAAGATGGATGGATGAATGAACAGACTGTACTGAAGGAAATTTTCAATAATTTTCTTTGTGATGAGAATCATGTATCATTGCTGCCTTATAAGAGCATATTTAGAACTACTCCTACCCCCACTTTCTTGGGGTTGTGAGCCCTGATCAGCATATGGTGAACCTATTCTTACTGCCTTACACATCCACATCTATCTTTTCTATATGCCTTTTATGTTTCCTTCAGGGGACACACTGCCTATCTTGAGGATGCCTTTGATGAGGTGGAGCTGTAAGTACAGGATAATCCACCTGCAAAAAAACATAAAATTATTCCTCAATACACTTAAATATAGCTTTCTTTTTTAGCTCTACCCTGAAACAAGGAGTTCCACCTCCTCTTCCTCCCAAGGTAAAACAATCTATTTTATACCTATTAGATATGGATTTTAGTTACCTTAATTAACATAATGGTCCTGTCTTTGACAGCCAAGGTTGAACATCTGCTCTGACGACATGAACCTTAAAGAAGAAAGGTGCCTGACTGTGCGCCGGGTGCCTAGCTGTGAGTCCAGCCCCATCTCAGGCTTACGCAGACCAAGCACATCAGAATCGGGTGGCAGGGCAGACCAATGCCCTCTTGACTGCTTCTCTGCAAGTGTTAGTAGTCCAGGCCTGGTGGCCCACTCATCTGACCTTGGTAACTTTTCTGCTTGCTCTCTCTTTGTAGTCCAGTAAATTATAACTAATAACATTCTTACTGCTATAATGAAATGCCTAGTAAATACCATGATACTTTACTTACAAAAAAATAATAATAAGTATCTATACAGCATTATAGATGACAGCTTCATAATGCATAATAAACATGGCTGTAATGCATTATAGCTTTTTATAAATATTTATAGCCATGTTTATTCAACATTGCTTTATGACTGTGTTCATAGATTCTTACAAATTTGGCATTCATAGAACATGTTACAAAAAAAACTTTTTTGTTGTAGGGTGTAATACTAGAAACCGTAACAGTATGGTTTGTTGCTGGGTTTTTTCTCTGACTGCTTCACTGCTTATTCCAGGGATTGGGTTTGACATAGCTAGTGGAGTTGCCACCCATCCCATATGTCAATATGAATTGCTCTGTTCTGTTTCAAACCACTATGGGATATGATTTGTCTGGCATTTCTCAAGATTGAATGTGGAAACACGAATTGCTGGTCTAAGACTCTAAGCACTCTCCTGGATGGTCATGTTTGGAGTAGGGAAATAAGTCACCATGTGGCACACATTTTAGACAGAGTTTACAGTACACAGGTCCAGTCTGTTGTATGTTGGACATTAAATTGCAAAAGTACTGCCACACTACCAATGTCTTTTTACCTTTATATACATAATCTCCATTTTAAAAAGTTATTGCGGCTGCTGAGCTGTCGCTTTCTTCACTGTTTACCATATCACTAGTTGGAATTGTGTTTGTTTCTGTGATGTGATAGGGTGATGTGTACTATCAAGCAATATTCCTTATTGAGAGTTTGTCATAGTTTCTCATTTTCATATCATAAAAATTTTATGTAATGTTAAGTTGATATATTCTTCGCTCAGTCCTATTATGAGTGTGCTTCATTATGAAATACATTAAGCTTGCATTATACACTGTTAGGTTATGCATCTGCTGATGCATCGTGTTGCCGCACCCACCACACAGCAAAACTCCTAGGGATCCCAGTCAGCGATCCCCCAGGCAGACACACAGTCCAGTCCCACCCTCCGGAAATGGCCATCCATCTGCCACAGCCAGGTGATACGTGGGCCGCTCATCTGACACAAAGTCAAGCCAGCAGTACCCAAGGATTCTCCGACGAGACACAGTACCAAAGGAGTCCAGTCTTTGTCTCAGCTCACTGGATAGCGTCCATGTCTCACAGCCATACAGCAAGACAGGGAGCACTAGGACCCTAAAGACTTGGACCTTTGTCCTCTTGCAAAGATAGTGGGAGTGCCACACACCCCTTTCCAGTGACCTCATGACCTCCCATGCTCTTCCAATCCGTCTGTTGACTGCATAGGAAGAGTCACCAGAGACATGGATGTCACTGCCGAGGGAGGTAAATCTCTCGACGAGGTTGACATTCCCCCCGCAGACAGAAACACTGCTGATGGCTGTGCCTAAGAAGGCTTTAAATGCCTGGATCTTGGTTTTTCTCCAGGACACCCACAATCCCAGAGATTCAGACTCCTCGCTCAGTTTCTCGAGATCCCCAATCAAAGCCCCCATTGACTCCACTAAGATCACGGCATCATCTGCAAAGTCAAGATCAGTAAATCTTTCTTCACCAATGGACACCCCACAGCCGCTGGACCCCACGACCCTGCCCAACACCCAGTCCATACAAGCATTGAACAGAGTGGGAGCCAGAACACACCCCTGACGAATCCCAGAATCAACTGGGAAGAACGCAGAGGTTCTCCCTCCACTCTGCACAGCACTCACAGTACCAGTGTACAGGCCGGCCATGAAGTCCAGTAGCTTTGGGGGTATCCCGCGAAGTCTCAGAATGTCTCACAGGTCACCTCGATCAACTGAGTTGAATGCTTTACAAAAATCAACAAAGGCTGCAAAGAACTTCTGTCGATATTTGCACTTGTGCTTGATGAGAACCCTTAGTGCAAGGATACGTTGAAGGATACTTTTTAGGCGTAAAACCAGACTGCCCTGGTTGCTGACAGACAAGCAAGTGATCATGGATCCTGTTAAAAATTACCCTAGCAAGGACCTTACCCAGCACTGAAAGCAGTGTTACCTCTCTGTAGTTGCCGCAATCCAGGCAATCACCCTTCCCTTTCCAGATAGGGACTACAAGTCCCGTTTTCCAGTCAGTTGGGATGATGTCTGCCTTGCAATGCTTTACCACCAGCCTGGAGAAGTTTACCCCAGATACCACAAATACCTGTGGCCTTCCCTACCCCCAGCTGATTTACCACCCGTGCGATCCCAGTGAGATTGGGTAGTTCACAGCTGATTTTAGGATCAACTTCGAGAATGGTAGACCCAGAGATGTCCAAAATGTAAGCCAGTAGCCAGCTCTTCGGGTCACAACAGCAGTGTCATCCGTAAGGTCCGTCCCATCAGCCGCCCTGACTGCAAGTCTCAGAGGAACAGATTCAGATGCAGATTCAGTGCATAATGCTTCGATTCCTCTGTAAGCAGGACGTGGGTCACTAGATCAGAGATGGTGTGTCATCTGCTCACAAATTCGTCTAACAAACGACTCCTTCTCTGCCCTCAGAGCCCTCACAGCCGTCCTTCTCAGTTCCCGCTACAAACTGAAGTATTTATTTGAAGTATTTACATTTTTTTCAAAAGTAACCTTATACACTGTAGAATTGTAGAAATGTAAGCATGATTTCTTTATCATATGTATTTGTATGAAATAAATCGGATTAAGTTTTCTGCCTTCATTGTTGGTTCTTTAAAATGATAAAATTATTTAGTATGCTAATAAATGAATATAAATGCTGAAATGGAAAGCATTGAAGGGGAGATAAAAGGTGCACATTACAGAGAACTCCTACATAAAATCAGAGCAAGGTTTTGTTTCAACCAACCAGCTGAGTAGACTGTGACTGTTTATACTCAACTGGTTGGTTGAAACAAAATCTTGGTCTGGATTTGTACTTTCTGGACCTGGACTTTCCACCTCTGCATAAAATAAACATGCTAGCTGCTGCCAGGAAGCTCAATGCGGGGAGAAGGTTCTTTAAACAGAGCAAAGATCTGTAGCTCACTGCAAACGCAGCACTGGATTAGCTTTAAATTAAGAATGTACATCCTTAAGTGTAGAACTCCAGTTGGAGTCCTGACCTTAATACGATTAAAAATTTGTGACAGTTTTTTTTATTGTTAGCCTTTGCATAGATTATTATTTTTTTCTGTTATGGTAAATGTGTTATTCAGGGTGGAATTTTAGAAATGCCTTACGTTTGCAAAACTCTAAATGTATATGTGTATTTTTAATTGTGGTGTTCAAGTTTTCATTCTTTTTTTTTTTTTTTACTTATACAAGGAGTACATATGTTAAAGAGAACTGGGTAGGTGCTTTAGGCCAGCGTTTCTCAAACTTATTTGTCCTGGGGACCAGTCATGTCAGGCTTTGGGGCTGCAGGGCCCTGCATAAACGACCGCCCCCAACCCCCCCACCCGCAGATGCATATCCACAAAGATAGATAGATAGTATTACTATTATTATTATTGTTATTATTATTATTATTATTACTACACCACCACTGTTATTATTACTATTAGTATTATTAGGGCTTATGCCTATGTAAGAACAATATTAAACATGACCTAACAGGAGTGCTTTGGCTAAATTTGAGATTATTGCCAAATAAATATATTATTGCCAAGTAAATATACAGATATATAGTAATTAAGCTGTTGTTATTATTATTATTATCATTATTATTATTATTATTATTAATAATGCGTTTTCTTTTGAAGAAGTCATCTGATTTATCTTTTAGATGTGCATGTTTTGTTTCCAAATGGCGGCGTAATTTCGATGGTTTCATAACCTCGTTACTTAGCATAGCTTTGCAGATGAACTATCGCTAGAAATAAAACCGAATTTAATGTATGAAATGTCGTAATTCCGAGTAAATGGGCGATGCTTTTTTGCCTCTTGCTCATCATTTGATGGACGCTTCCGAAAGAAAGATTCCGGACTCCCTTGCTTTGAACATGCCATGATTTATTGACAACTCTCATAACGCATGTGTGTCCGTGAAAAGTTTGGAGGGAATGAGACAAAGGGTGGGAACGCTGAACGCTCTAGAATGCTAAAACAAGGGGCGGGCCGTGAAGTCGAGGGGGCGGGGAGGGGCACGCAGTAACAGCAGCGCTGAGATCAGACCTGATCTGACTGAATTTTGTTTGGTGCGGAATGCAAGGCTCCACGGATCGGCAGGAACCCTCTCACGGACCGGCACCGGTCCGCGGCCCATAGTTTGAGAAATGCTGCTTTAGGCAATAAAGACAATAAGTTGATTTTCTTTGTTCTGTGGACTTTGTTTTGTAATAACAGACAATGTGATGCATTTTGGTTTACAGTTGTTCACTAGACAAGCAAACAAGCTTGTTTTTCAAGCATATGTTCAAGAGTAGTGCTAAGCTGGCCCTATGTTTTCCACTGTATATCCGAGCCTATTAGTGAAGACTCCTGAAGTTTGATCCAGTTTACTGTAAATGTTTATTTAAAATATCTGAAGTATCCCGATAGACATTAGGGAATATTTGTTGATGTCTATGCAGCTTTCACCCAAGTACTCATTTTGTATTTCCTCCCATTTATCTTCAGATCATGAATATTTGGATACTTCTATGAGAGGAGATGATTGTAAACAGCCTCCTGCGCCACCACAGAGGAAGGAGAAGAAAGAGTTCCCCGTGAGTGTCTCTGAATTTTAAATAAAAGTCAGGATAATTTAATCTTTATATTCCAAGTTTCAGAAAACAAATTATTTGTTTTGTATAATCAATACAGTACCAATTAAGTATACAGTGGTACCTCAGAACTCGAATTTAATCCGTTCAGAACTCCAGATCGAATCCTAAAAAGTTCGAGTTGTGATCGAGTTTTCCCCATAAGAAATAATAGAAAACCAATTAATTGGTTCCTGGCCCCAAAAAATTACATCTAAATATGTTTTTTTTAAGCATTTAAACACAAAATGAACCGGATAAAACAAGAGCATATACTGTACTAAACACATCTAAGCACATTTATCAAAACAGTAATTTGTAAAGTAAGAAAAATGTATCCAAACAATGTGTCCTACCCCGATCGTCCGCTCCTTCTGTGTGCCACACCCCCTCGTTAACCTAGTGTGGAATCCCCGTGTGATCAGCTGTTTCTGGTTGTTGTCATTAGTCCTCTGTATTTCAGTTTATTTCCCCAGTCCAGTTATTGTATTGTCCGTCTGCGTTTTGCCTGCCTTACCTGTAATTAAACCCCATATTCCTCGATACCCTGACGTCTGCGCCTTTGTCTCCGTTCAGTCCCCACTCAGCACAACAATATTATTATAATTAAACGTATTAATGGTTTATTATTAATATTAAAATAATGAATAAGAAATCTTTATTTTTAAATGTATTTTATTATATAATAATAATTACTGTTACTGTCTATCTTTGTCTAAATGTATTTTTACTGTCTAAATACATGTATTCAGCTAGTCTAAACATACACGATGCTATCACACCGAATGCGAGGCTGAGACTGAAGCCTTACCCTTTGTTTCCGATGAGAGACGTGCTGCGTGACTCATTTCCCCGCGCGTACAAGTTATCTTAGGTCGGCGTTTACAGTTTGACTTCTGAGATTCAGATCGAGTTCTAGGTAAAAAAAATTTCGAACTGGTTGGTTCGACTTTTAAGAAATTCGAGTTCTAATGAGTTTGAGAACTGAGGTACCACTGTATTCCTCACAGTACACCTTCCTGGCACAGTTGGTAAATGAATACATTGTTAAGGATGGTAAAATAGAGGCTGGAATCACATTTGGTGATTCTTCTTATGCTGAGATCTGAATACTGTTTTGCATGTGAAGTGGGGAATAATGTATCGTGTATGTTCCTCTTCTGACAGAAGCCTGTTATTAATGGCCTTCCTCCAACACCGAAAGTTCTGGTAAGTTTTAGACATTTTTCGTAAGGTTTTTTTATATTCAGCCATGAACTGCTTCATCTTTGAGCGTGACTGTTTCAAGGTGTTTAGTGTGTATGTAGCTGATTAATAAGGGCAATTTTTTGTGTGTTGATGAAAGTAGGGGTAGACAAGTATTTTGAAAATTTTCATAAGCACTGGTAATCCTATTGTTAACACTTGGTTATTACAGGTACTAACAATGCATGCCCATCCCACTGCATGCTCACATTATCACTGCAACAAGGTTCGTTATTCCAACATTTCATATAACCGGGAAACCAGGAAGGCTTTTCATTATGGAAACCGCTCACAAGAGCTACATGGTGTTTTCAGTGTGGAGGATTGTATTGTTTTCACTTGGGAAACATGAGCTGCTTTACCTTCAGTCCTC